CCCCAGCCCCACAACCAACCCCTCTGTCCCTCCCAGCCCCTTCCAGCCGCACCCCCTCTAGCCCCTCCCCAACCCCACCCCCTCCTGCCCCTCCCCCACCCCTCTAGCCCCTCCCACGGCTCCCAGTCACGCCCCTTCCTGCCCCTCCCCCCGGCTCCTGCGGGCGCTGAAGCTCCTCCCCCGACAGGACCCGCCCCCGGTTCCGGCCTCGGCCTGTCGGCGGGCAAAAAACATCCCCGCCCCCGCCAGGCCTTTAAAGGCGCGGGTGACTTTACGGGCGGAGCATAGAGTTGCCGGGGAGGGCGAGGGAGAGAGCGTCGGCCGGAAGCAGGAACCATAGAGACGGGCCGGGCCCGCTGGGGGAAGAGAGTCGCGCCTAGAGGCCGGAGGATCATCGAGAGGCTGGAGGGCGAGGAATAGCCGCCTCCCCCCGCCCCTATGAACCGGAAGTTATGACCATAGAGATGCAGAAGCGCAAGCCGGAAAGAGGGAGCGTCGCCAGCAGCACGGCTGTGACTTGAGGACCATAGAAATGTAGGAAGCGCACGCGAGAGAGCGTCGCCCGCCCGACCGGAAGTGGCGACCATCGAGCCTTCAGGGACAGAGCGTCTCCAGTGAAACCGGAAGCGCGGTGATCATAGTGACGCAGGCCGGGAGCGTCACCTCCTTTGGTCCTCCGAGGAGGGCTCCCGCGCCCCCTCCCCCACCCCAATTAGTGCAACCATTAGTGAGCCGGAATTAACTAGTAATTAGTGACGCAGCTGGGCGGGGCTCCCCCTGGCCGCCCCCACTTCAGACCCACCCAGGCCAATTACTGGAACCTGCATCAGCCCCAATTAGCTAATTACCCCCAATTAACGAGAGCCCGGCGGGGGGGGTCATTAATGCAGGTGCCCGGGGATGGGGGGGGGGGGGCAGCGCCAGGGTCGGTTAATGACCCAATCAGCGCCCCCCAATTAACCCTGGGCTAATTAATGAGGCTGCAGCGCTAACGAGCGGCCAGGGCTGGGGGCCGCCCAATTAACCTGGGCTAATTAAGGAGGCCACGGTGCTGC